GAACGCACAGAGACTAAAGTTTAGAAGTGGTGACCCGGGATGCGAGGAAGGGCAAGGGAGTCATTGCTCAGGGGGCACTGAGCTTCTGTGAAGGGTGATGGGAAAACTGGGAAATGGATAAGGGTGATGGATGTCCAACTTGATGAACGTGTTAACATCACTGAATTGTGCATGTAAAAAACGTTGAAATGGCAAATGTTTTGTTGTGTGTATACTTACCACAGTACAACAATGTTATTTTTAAAAGAAAGTTGTGCAAAGGAAATGCAGAACCAAGAAGTAGAAGAAGAATTGGATCCAGCCCTGCCTCTAGCAGGTGAAGCATCGCCCCACTTCACAGTGAAAACAAGCAACGTTCCATTAAATGCTAAACGTCGAAAACCAAAACCAAAGTAATTGCTGCTGAGTCAGTTCCGACTCATGGCGCCCCCATGTGTTACAGAGCAGAACTGCTCTGTAAGGGTTTCTTGGCTGTAATCTTTACGGAAGCAGATCTGTGGCGCCACTGGGTGGGTTGGAACTGGCGACTTTAGGTGAGTAGTCCAGCGCAGACCATTTGTACCAGCCGGGGACCCACGTCAGAAGTCCCATAAATGAGGCATGGACCCTGATTGGTGGAGCGTCCTCTTCCTTTTACCACTTTGCTTCATTGCACTTTTTTTTTTCATTTATAGGAAAGTACCTTTCTTTAGAAGGACCCCTGGTGGTGCAATGGTGAAGCACTCACCTGCCAGCCGCTCCTGTGGCCGTCTGCTCCCGTAAAGATTACAGCCTTGGAAACCTGGGGCAGTTCTGCTCTGTCCTGTAAGGTAGCTATGAGTCGAAATCCACTCAACGGCAACAGCTACCTTTCTTTTGTTGTTCCTGGGTGGTGCCAGCCGTTCCACTCTGACTTACACGGGGTCGCCATGAGTTGGGGTCGACTTGACAGCAACTGGTTTTTGCCTTTTTTGCTGTTGGCTTTGTTTTGCTACAATTGCGTTCATACTCTTACCAAAGGTCAGTCAGTATTACTCTACACCCGCAAACTCTACCCCTGATAACTTGGATCACTGCGTCTCTCACGGTGATCCCTTGGGATTTTCATACTATGGTTTATTATGTTATACACGTTAAATATCTTATATATAATGTTAACTCGGAAACCCTGGTGGCGTAGTAATTAAGTGCTACAGCCGCTAACCAAAAGGTTGGCAGTTCGAATCCACCAGACGCTCCTTGGAAACTCTATCGGGCAGTTCTAATCTGTCCTCCCGCTGGGTTGTTATGAGTCGGAATTGACTTGACGGCAACGGGTTTTTTTTTTTTTTGTTTTTTGGGTTTTTTTTTTTTTTTTTTTGGTTTAATGTTAACTCGTATCCCCACTACCTGTTATAAAATTGTAGGTTCTTCTAAATATGTATTATTTTAAATCTAATGAATACAATTCATAATGAATTTTTAAAATCTGTGTTTTTGTTAAAAGCACGTGGTTTGGAATTAAAAGGGGAAGTAGCATTTATTGGACATCAGATACTGTCTAGGTGCTTCTACATTCGCTAATTCATTTCATCTCCATGACTATTCCTATGAGGTAGGTTAGAGAAGTATCTTTATATTGATGAAGAAACAAAGACTCTGAGATCTTCAGTAACCACCCCTAGTGATGTAACAGCTAAACAGAAGAGCTAGAAGTTGAACTTGGGTTTCCTGTCTCTAAATCTAGTACTATCTCTACCATACCGCTTGAATCCACCAGACTCAAAGTCAAGAAGTCTAAGTTTTATTCCCAGCTCAAATATCACATAAACACTGTATGCTGTATCACCCTCTTTGAAATTCACTATGCTCATTTGTATGTCAAAGGATCTATCAAATTCTAATGTAAAGATACATCTTTAACCTAGTGGCTCTCAAGCTCCTGGAATTCTTATTTGGTTGTTGTTATTTTTAGTGATATCTATTAACTTTCCTCTGAAATAGTGCTCTATAAAACACACCACAAGCAACCCCGGTCTGGATTAATATGCTAGGGAGTCTAACTGGACAGCTCTGGACTATAGAGAGTTGTGAATTGAATGAAGACTCAATCTTTCAAAATAGTCCTTGGGGATTATCTGCCAAAAGAAGTTCAGGACATAAATTTATTTTAAAATACTTGCTTGTCACTTTCCTTGTTCAAGAAAGAATTATCGTAGAGAGCCGGATTTCAAGGGTACATTGATTATCTCCAAGGCTTTCAGTGAAATGCTATCCTCTCCCTTCCTTTCTCTGACATCTCTCTCCTCTTCTTGGGTACTGCCTGCTCCTCCTAACCTGGCCATGCCAGCGTGCCCTAGGCTTCAATGTTACCTCTCACACCTATTCCAAGTCCCTCAGTGCTTGTCAGTTTGATGTTAGGAAAACAATCTGATCAAATCAATAGTCACTCTATCACTTCTTAATCTTTCAGAAGTATTTCTGATTGGAATAAACAAGACTCTAGCTGGAAAATTTCAAATAGTCTGGGAGAGAGCCCTCAGAAAGAACTGACACAGCTAACACCTTGATTTCAGACTTCCAGCCTCCAGAACTGTGAGCAAACACATTTTTGTTCTTCTAAGCCACCCGGTTTGTGGTGCTTTGTTATAGCAGCCCTGGGAAACTAATATGAAAAGTTCTTGTAAAATCCCTGCTACAGCGAGGAAGATAATCTCTCTCCCAGGAACCCCTTGCTTTCTTGAAAGGGCTCATTTACATGTTTCCAGTCTGGGAGGAGCAGATGAGTGGATATTAAAGGTCACAATAAGGAAAGGATTTTAAGCACAAATACCAAGGAACGCTGTTTCATAAATTTGGTTAGGAGAAACAAAGTCTAAAGAAGTATCTGTAAACATAAAAAAATCGTTTGCATCATTTCCCTTTTCTCCCCAGCTTCTCGCCCATCCCAGCCCTAGGAGACCTCTGATCTACTCGCTGCCCATGGATTTGCCTATTCTGGACATTTCATATACATGGAATCATACATTATGTGGTCTTTTGTGACTTGCTTCTTTCTCTCAGCATGATATTTTCAAGGTTCATCACCATCTCGTTCTCAGACTCCCCTTTTCAAGGAGAAGGAAACCTTTCTTAGACATGTCTCAGTAGACTTTTCCTTAAGACTCCTTGGTCTACATTGAGCTACACAATCCATTCCTAATCCAATCCCTGGCAATGGAGAAGAAATTACTATAATTAATGTAAACTGATGTATAGCAGCCCCAGGCACTGGGGACAGAGTTATCTAGCCATCTGCCATGGGAGTCACAGGCAGACGGGGCTGGGAGGTGAGTGGGGAATCCCTGAACAGAATCAGGTTTCTGGACGCTGGATAAGGAAGTAAAGGGCACACAGTACTTAGATAGTCCAACGTAGTAATTACCAAGGGAGCTAAGAATCAGTGATGGAAGGGGCCACGTTTGACCTTTGGTTTATTGATTCCCTTAGTCTTCCCTTCTTCCTACCCTTTTGTCCTGCACTTATAGACAGCTCACCAATGCCCCATTGCCAGCCACTCCACATCCCACCCCTGCAATGAATTCTTTGCCCTGCTTAGCTAAGCTGAGCAGCTGCAGGGGTCTCAGGCAAGTGGCAAAGGCAGGGAGAAGTGACTGAGAGGCGAGAGCCACCCTGTGCCCTCTTTCCAGGTGGTCGATAGACAAAAGTTTGTCATGCTATCTATGCTGCTATAGCTTCATGTGGTTGATGCATGCGATGGGGAGGGAGGTTACAAGAACACACATATGCATGAGAGCACTATCTACATAGAAGTATATGTTTATCTTGTCCGTGAGTGAAAAATGAAGACCAGGGACCACCTCAGACCTTGATTCTTTCTCCCTGGTTTAGACTCATGTTCTCTCACAGCCCTCATGGTAGGGACCTGGCTGGGAATACATGAGAATATCACCTTAGAATTGATCTCGTACTAATGGGAAGCTACTGGGTTTCAGTTGTTCTGTCATCATATTGGGAAAACTCTACAGATATTAGACGTAGAAAGACTCTTTCAGCACTGGGGCTATTGGATGTCGGTCAGTGTGTGTCTCCAACGCCCTCAAGGGGAAGTGACGTTCTTGATAGGCAACTGAAGGTCAGAGTTTCAGTCTGTGACTTATCTCAATAAATAGCCAGTATCACGTAAGATGGAGCCCTGGTGGCGCAGTGGTTAAGAGCTATGACTGCTAACCAAAAGGTTAGCAGTTCGAATCCACCAGCCGCTCCTTGGAAACCCTATGGGGCAGTTCTACTCTGTCCTATAGGGTCGCTATGAGTTGGAATCGACTCGACGGCAACGGGTATCACGTGTGGCAGTGCGTGAGCTGCGAAAGAGACAGGAGTTGCTGTCCTTGGCAGTGCAGAATTCTGTTCTCCAAGGATCCCCGGCGAGAGCTGGAGACCCAGGCCTGTTCCAAACGCCTGCCGTGAATTCATCTTCTGCTCCTTGGGAACCTCACTCAGCTACCAGCAACACTGAACAGGTCACGGGAAAGGGACAGCGCGCCCGTCTGCACATCTCCTTGGCCTTGTGTCTTGCACGAATAGATCAGGCCCCTCTCTGGGCCGTCAGTCCTCGGGAACGAAGAGTGAGGGCCTGCTCCGGGCCTGGAAGGGGCATGTGTCAGCTGGCATCTTCTTCTCTGGGATCGGACGTGCCCGTATGACCCAGCAGAGGAAGCTCCCAGGGACTCTCCCTGATGGTGAGAGGGGACTCTGCTTCAGTCCTTGACTCACAGAATGCCTCGGGGCCCCCGTCCAGCCCACCTACCCTGCCTCATCTTGGCGGCGGAACCCGAGGGCGGCGGGAACCCGAAGGCGCCGGGAACCCGAAGGCGGCGGGAACCCGAAGGCGGCGGGAACCCGAAGGCGGCGGGAACCCGAAGGCGGCGGAGCACGAGGCCGGCGGAAACTGAGGGAGCGGGACCCGGGGGCGGCCGGAACCCGAGGGCGGCGGAACCAAGGGCGGCGGCCGCGGTTTCCCGTGAACAAGCAGGGATCCTTGAGCACGGACACAGGAAGGCAGGGCGCGAACGGGACTGGCCGTGGTGAGTGTGGCGGTGCCGGGGCAGCTTCGCGGCGAGGCGCTCGCACCCGCCGGGGAAGAGGGCCGGCGTGGGGCCGAGGGTCCCCGGAGTCGGGGCCGCGGGGGCTGGGGAGGGTCCGCGCGGACCGCTTGCTTCGTGTGGTCCCAGAGACCTCGGCCCTCCCTGCGGGCGCCGGGGGCCTGAGTCCGGGTCCCAGAGCTGTCGCTCCGTGTGTGACCCTCAGTTAATCACTTTCTCCCTGTGCTTCAGCGTGCTCGTCTGTAAAATGGGGAGAATAGCGTCTGGTTGGTTGATGGATTGGCTGGTCCATTCATTCCGGGCGCTTTACTGGCTCCGGTACTGGGGCGGGGAGGACAGGCAGCCCAGGAGGGCTCCAGGCTCGTGGGACCGCCCGCACCTACCAGGCCGGCAGGACCGAGTGCGGGAGAACTGGGGAGTTCTTTGGAAAAAAGAGTAAATTGCTTTTCACAGGAGAGATGTTAATTCGAACATAAAAAAAATTATACTTTTGTTGAGATTTGGAGTGAATTCTGTGGTTACTCAGAAGTTCCATAGAAGGAATATGCGTTGTTAGCTAATATGTTGCATATTGTGATGACAATTTATATGCTTGTAGTGTTGTAGGGGAAAAAAAATCACAAAGTTTAGTAAACCAAAAAGAAAGTTTTCTTCGGCATATATTCAAAGGGGCAAAAGTGGGAAACATACAACCATGCTGCCAGAGCCATGTCCGCCTGAGTCCAAGGAAATACCACAGAACAGACGAAAGTGGGAAAACGGATAAGCATGCTGCTAGAGCCATGTCTGCCCAAGTCCAAAGAATATTACAGAATAGGCAAGAATGGGAAAACAGACAAGCACGCTGCCACAGCCAGGTCTGCCAAGGAATGTTACAGAGTCATCAGTATATATTAACATTACAAATGGGCAAAACCATTGAAAGCTTCACCTTTTCACAGATTGGCTAGAAACTATGATCCTACATTTTGAATCTTTCTCAACAATCATTGGTACAGGTTTCAGGAACGACAGTCCGGAGGCTCTTCATTGGTCCAACCATTTTTCTATTCACTAAATGCTAATAAAAAAAGTTAAGACTACAAATGTAGTGTTTTGTACTCTGTTTGATTGGCTTTATGTGAAAGGTTCCCTAAAAGGTATTTTTCAAGTTTCTCTTACCTATTGTCTTTATACCTCAGGGCCCAGGTGATGTGTCCTTGTGAGTCCTTGTGAGCAGTTGTGAGCCCAGCTCCAGCTGGGTCACATTCTCTATGCTCAAAGACAGGGAATAATAACTCCAATATTATTTCCTAAATCAGTAGAAAAATTTACAAGGCACATTCACAACCCTGTCTCCAAATGAGGCTGTAGAGCTGGTGGTGTACCTTCACACTGTTGTTAGGTGCCATCGAGTTGGTTCCCACTCAGCAATCATGTACAACAGAAGAAACGCTTCCCGGTCCTGCGCCATCCTCATAAACGTCGTTATGCTTGAGCCCATTGTTGCAGCCACTGTGTCAATAATCTCATTGCAGGCCTTCCTCTTTTTTGCTGACCCTCTGCTTTACCAAGCATGATGTCCTCCAGGGACTGGTCCCTCCTGATAAATGTCCAAAGTAAGTGAGATGAAGGCATGCCATCCCTTGTATTACTAGTGAAGAAATAGAGGTGGAGGTTGAGTGAGGTACCCCCGCTCGCCCTACCTGTAAGTGAGGGCTAGAATCCAGGTCCCAGGACGCTGGAGCAGTGGTCTTTCCACCGGACTAGGTGGCCTGCATATTTCCACCTTGTTTTTTATAATACTCGAGTCATTCATCTGTGGCAAAAGGGAGCTCCTTTGGGTCACGAATGGCCTTTAAACAGACTTTTATCGCTTTTAGTTGGTCTGACTTTATATTGGCATTCTTCTCACTCTCTTCTCTTGCCTTGGGTGATTTTATCTGCGCTCAGACTTGACCTTTTTTACACCAGTGAGTCCCACATCTTTGCCTTCTGCCCAATTTCTCCTAACTTCAACTGCACAACCAGACATCCATAGGACATTTCCAGCTTGGATGCCCCGCAGGCATCTCAAACTCACTATCTCCGAAACTTCACACATGTCCTTTCTCCACAGACCTACATTCCAAATGTAAATGATTGCAGCCATTATCTACTCAGTTGCTCAAGCACAAAACCTGGCTTGGTTTCTCCTCTCTCGCTTCCAACAATCGATTGATCACCAAGTCCTGCCAAAATTCTATTTTCCAAAAATCTGCCAAATCCATCTTTTCTATCTCCATTACCCCTTCCTTCCCGTAGGTGACCAGAGATTATGGTAATAACTTCCTAATGGCCCTTTTTAGTTTCAATCTCAGCTTCTACCAGTCTTTTGCATTCTACCATCAAAGTATCACTTACTTAAATCCTTCAGAGCTGTTTCATCGTCTTTAACATGACATCCAAAGTCTCTAGCATGCATTCAAGGTCTTTCTTGGTGTTTTCTGCATGCTGTCCTCCACCATCCTTTATCTCCAAACCTCTGTTTCCCAAAGTGTGCTGTGGTGGGACTCTCCATTAGAATCCTGGGAGTGCTTGTTAAAAATGAAGGTAACAGCCCCATTCCAGAGTAAATCAGAATCTAGGGAGATAGTGTCTAAGAATCCGCATTTTAAATAAGTTCTGCACTAAAGTTTGAAAGCCCCTGTTCTAAACACTCCCTGATGTTTACCCTTCTCTCTGCCCACACTTGGTTCTTTACCTGTGTTTCCTTGAACACACCTTGCTCTCCTTTATGTCTTTGTAAGCATCAGCTTCTTTAGTTCGTTCTTTGCTTTGGTAACTCCTACTCATTCTTTGAGATTCTGCTTAAATGCCCCTCCCACTGGGGAGCCTTCCCTGACCACGCCCACTCCCTTCGAGGTTGGGTCTGTCCTTGGGACTCTAACAGAGTCTGTAGCTCACCCCTTGTCTTTGTCACCTAGTGCTGCTGTGATAAGAAATACACTCACAGGTGGCTTTAGTGAGCACATTTATTTTCTCACAGCTCTGGAGACTAAAAGTCCACTTCAGGGTCACAGCTGCGTCGATTCCTGGTTTCTGCTGTTTGATGGCGGTCCTTGGCGCTCCTTTGCTGCATCGATTCCTGGTTTCTGGTGTTTGATGGCGGTCCTTGGCGCTCCTCTGCTGCGTCCATTCCTGGTTTCTGGTGTTGATGGCAGTCCTTGGCGCTCCTTTGCTGCATGGATTCCTGGTTTCTGGTGTTTGATGGCGGTCCTTGGCGCTCCTTTGCTGCGTCCATTCCTGGTTTCTGGTGTTTGATGGCCGTCCTTGGCGCTCCTTTGCTGCGTCGATTCCTGGTTTCTGGTGTTTGATGGCGGTCCTTGGCGCTCCTTTGCTGC